ATTTGAYACGGGACGGAATTGGTATATCCGTCAAAAAAACCCTGGACGGAACTAGTTTATCTAAAAAATTCAATTTTTATAATTGGGACGGAACTCGGATGCTGCAGCCCAATTATACAATTAGACCTGATCGTAAAACCTTTTTTGACGGGAGTCGTTTGGAAATAAGCGAACAATAGAAGGGAGCCGTTTGGAATCCGACGTGTTATATGCTGGTCGTATTATTGACTATTGATATTGCTTCTGACAAAAGCTGCGATGCCCGGATGTTTCAACTTTCAAGACGAGTTATATTGACTAATAAAAACCCATRGTTCGATTGAATATAAAAATTAAAAATTCTATAGATGGATCATTCAAAAGTGTAAGACATTTTTGTATGGCTACAGCATCTTCGGCAGTATAATATAATTACTTGTATTATACTGCCTATTTGGGGGTATATCGATTACGCCGATTTTATATCGATTCCGCTGGCTATTGACTCCGCCGGTTAGGTTAGGTTAGGTTAGGTTACTGTTTAAAATTACTACATATCGATTCCGCATTAAAGTTATTTTTCTCGTCTTACATAAACCAACCGGGACAAAAATACAAAATGACAGGCCGGGACACCGGGACACGCTGAAGTTAAAACTAAGACTGCCCCCCTGTCCCGGTCAAACTGGGACTAATGGCAAGCCTACCATAACTACTTGCTTGTAGACTGCAGTACTGGGTAGRTATAGAAYAATAAAGACTGTATAAATTGTAAAATATAACCACAGTAAAGATTAAATATATTATTTAATCTATACAGTGATATAACATTAGATAATATGATAGTGATAGTATAATAAAATCTCGTTTACGAGAATGTTTGGGCATCATGAAAAAAAACAATGAAATTGGTTTTGTTTAAATAGCGTATTACGTCATTACAATTTAACATGCACATATTATGTGCATTGTTATAYCGTGGAAATATTAGTTACTTATATGGTTTTAGATTCTGAACGAAGTGATGAATGTATTGATTTTACAATGATGTGTGTGTGTCTTTTTTTTTATGTTTGTTTGTTTTTGTGTCTGTGTACAGCATAACTAGTCGATATAAAGCTTCGATTTCAAACTTTGGGGGTGG